CACACACACACACACACACACACACACACACACACACACACACACACACACACACAAACAGGCATTATTAAAACAGAGGCTCATCACAGCAGAAAATAAATACAATTAATTTAGCTACAAAATGTTTAGGCCAATCTCATTTATGCCTCTGTTTTAAAGTCAGACTCATGCATCAGGTTCTGACACACTTTTTTATTTGAAATTCCAGATCTTTTTCAGACACAACTATTCAGATTTTTAATTTTTTTTTTTTTAATTTAGGAGCGACTTTTTGATGTAAAACAGGATGCAACTATACTGCCCCTGATCATGTAAAAACAAATGAACTGGTTTGAAAAATTGGTTCTACTGTCTTTATGCTGCATCTTTGGAGAATTAACTACACTGCTCTGGTTTTCCTAAAATACAAATCAGTTTTGTTTGATTTTTTGAAAAAGAAAGAAAAAAAATATTACATAAAAAATTGGTTAACTAAAAATACTTTTTTAGCAGATTATTGCAAATTTATGTAACTCTAAATCTGCTGTAAATTCAATGGAGTTATATCTTCTGACTCCTCTAAATAAGAAGTTGAACATTTAGGAGTCACACTCGAGTTCAAACAGTTTTTCCGACTTCATATAATCAGATTTAAACAAGCACATGTGGGAATCGCACTTTCCGAATGGGACACAAAAAGGACGCCTGAGGCTTTGTGGGACCTACCCGTCGATGATGAGGTACTCGTAGGGAGCCTTCTTGTCACAGACGGGACACACCCAGGTGGGCTTCTTCTCGTTCATCTGGATGTAGAGCGTGGCGTCGAAGCACTGCAGATGGGAGCACGTCAGCGCCCGGCACGGGATCATCAGTCGCATCTTCCCCAGCTGCACGGAGAGAGCGCAAATATGTGTTCAGGGCACACCGAGGACTCACGCAGTGGGGGATCATGGCTGAAGAGCGTTTTTAAATGTCATAAATCCGCCAAATGCGCATGAAACTGACTTGTGATGGCGCTTTGGAAGACAGCTTGATAGGTGAACACGTTTGCAGCTATGAGTTATGTGCATAAAGGTGTGCAGAGTTGCATGCAAAGTATATATATAAAAAAAACAAACAAGAAAAAAAAGGGCAAACGTGTTTCAGCATGACTGAATGTTAAAAATTCATGAGGAGCGGGAAGGATGATTACCGGGCAGAGCAGAGACACTCGCAGGCTGGTTGTGGCTATCTCACTGTCGGGGTCTGCTGTTAGCTTCTCTTTGACTGCAGGAAACAGATAAAGAGATAAACATGAAGATGAGTCGGTGAGAACCGAACAGATGGACCTGTTCTTACAGATGTGCTCTCTAAATCACTGTCAGGTCAGAGGACTGAACTAWAAATATATTCAAGAGCTCCTCATAAGGCCACTGGAGCTTCCTGTAGTATTTCTCATTCATAATAAAAGAATCCGGTTCTGTCTGGCTGCATGAAAACTTCTCAAAACGCACATTAAGTACACGTCACAGTCCTCAGCTGACATCTTCCTTTCAAAAAGGCTTTTATTTGATTAAATTGTAACTTTGAATCAAAGTTTCTTATTCCACTCTTTTCCATGCAACTACATGAAAAATCTAACCATTTCGTTGTTTCTGTAGTGAATTTATGATTTAGTGTTTTTGCATTAAACTCAGTTGAGTACGTTTATAATTAGGAGATTTGGGCAGAAATCTGCAGTTTTTATTCATCTTATCTGTTTAATCTGTTTGAACCTATGTTCAGCCATGTAAAAATGTTGCTTTTTTTACATGGCTATAAATTTTATGCAATTTATAGCTGCATAAAATTTAGTCATTTATGAACTTTCATGTGCAAAAAACCTTTAATAAAAGATCATGATCTTCTTGCCTTCATGCAGTTCTGCATAACAAAAAATAAAGATCATCCCTAAATAAACAAAAACAATAATGAATTTGAACAAAACAGATTCAGAATTACAAAAATGTGTGTAGATAATCTGATCGATCAAAAAAAAAAAAACAACTTTTAGAGTGTGAAAAGAAGCTGTTATGAAACAGGGTGATAAAAAACATTTGTCCTTACTTGTTCTGAAACATGTTGCTGGCATCGATATTAAAACAAAAGTGAATCAAAAACATTTCCCAGTTTTAGATTAGATATTCTGTGTTACTTCAGCTTAAAAACACAATTCAGTTATTGTGTTATTTTTTAACGTTATTTGGAGAGTAATCCACATTATTCTGAGCTTGTTGTTCATCTGTACAGAAAGAGGCTGGCGGTTCTTACTGAGAGCTCTGGAGTGGTCCGGGTTTCTGATGCCTTTTGCTCGTAGTCTCTGCAGCAGCACTGTGGATGACTGCTGCTTCACCAAGTACACCGCCATGGAGTAACTCTGTGAACACACAGCATACGGCATAATGTAGCGGTAAATATGCACAAGTATATTTTATTGCAGATGAAGTGATTGCATTTTATTTTGAAATGTATATGGAAATTGTTGACTTTGGTTCTTGAGCTATGCGCTTTTATTTTGAGTGTGCACCTCCTGTCTAGAGCAGTTCATAACACAGATTTATATAGCTAGATAAGCTGAGGCGGAGTCTCYGGCGTCGTCACACGACGGCCATCTTGGTAAAGCTAGCAACACTAGCTGTAGCTGCAGAAACTGTATTGAGGTGAGCAATTTACACAAACAAATAWAGGCTTTCCTCGCTGAAATCTTGATGGATTTACAAATAGTTTGGTTTGTCACAAAGGTTATTAATGTGGCTATGATTTGGGCTAGTTAGACATGTTGAGAATGCAGCTTTATTTAAAAAAAAAACGATTAATTGTGTTGCATATAGTTCACAGCTAGCTTCTGGTGAGTCAATGTTAATGTTATCAAGGCTGGTCAAGATTTTAAACTCTTAATAAGCTAAGTTTTCCTGAGAACAGTAATGATTTAATGACAAAGTAATCTTTTGTTTAAATGACAATTTTAATCATGATTGTATTTATTGCAGGCTAATAGTAAAAGCCTGTCATTAAGACCTAACTAGTATTTCAAAGTTTACCAGCAATTTTAAAAGATCAGGAGCTCTTAACTTAACTGAAGCTGCACCTGATTTACAAGCAGCGTGGTTTGCTAAAAACTAATTACTGCTTTGTGTTTACAGAAGTGAACCTCCACAACATGCCTGACTTCTGTGCAGCCTACAGATGTTCCAACAGCTGTAGCATCAAAACAAGAACCTGTGGATCACCTTTCACCTGTAAGCTCTGTCACAGTATTATTACTAGTTATATTGTGGATCTGTACACAATTCAGGTTATGCTAATTAGGAACAGTGGGGCTATGTGACATAATAGTATTGACCCAAGGCTTTTTTGAATATCGTCCTATAATGTCATTCAGTCTTTCTTTTAAACAGCATTTTTACAGATCATAGATGTCATAAATATAATATATAATTAAATGTCACACTTTAGTAGTTATTTCTGCAAGTTTAGGAATAAATAATGTTTTCTTGATCACAGCACATTTTAGACACACTTTTTTCACTCGTGTTTATTTTAGCTGGTAGAAACAAAGCACAACCACATGTAGAAGAGTTGTAGACGACCTGCAGATTAACCTCGGTCTGATGCTGTGAATATAGATTGATTTACGTTCACAATTGATAAGTGAATATTGAATTGTTAACTATTTAATTTCCACATTACTATTATTTGTATATTCTGCCAAAGTAACAGGGCCACTGGAGAGAGGTGAAAGCAGTCCACTGACCACCTGTACCCACTGCCTGCTGTCTCAAGGCTTTCTACACTAAACTGAAGGAGCCACAGCCAGAGAGAGGAAACTGTAGCTGGAGAAGTCCAATGCCTTGCCAAGAGACAAGAGGGCCAAACAAATTGTAATATATGTAGTTAAGAGGACTAGACTCAAGAATGGGTTTTTGTCTCTAAGCACAGTATACCCACTAAAAAATGAAGACTACACCACTGGTCCAAAGTACTTTTTTCAGATGAAAGCAACTTTTGCATGTCATTCAGAAATCAAGGTGCCAGAGTCTGGAGGAAGACTGGGG